ACTTGCATTTATGCATAAAATATTCATTAATTTTATAAATCGGAGTATTTTTTCACTTACTTTGTATTCAGTGATAACATTAATTTATTTACTATGCAATAAACACGAATATTTGAGAAAAGAAAAGAAATAATAAAGTGTCATAATTATACTGTTACTTATCGGAACGAGTAGACTCATTTGGAACATCTTTAACAATTATCTGTTAAATTTATCGTTGTTTATATGCCCTGCACCGCTTAATGGAATAAGGTATAGTAACAGCACTGATGATGGAATGGTCATTCCGAAAACGTTCTATGATATACCCCGAAAGACTTCTTTTAAATAAATATACTTTTGTTATGAAGAATTTTTTGATTAAAATTTTTTATCTAACTATTCTTTTTTAGATATTCTTTAATAAACTCCTCTCTTCTCGGATTTAGTGTTTTGTTTTATTCGGCCATTCACTAGTTTACATTAATGTCGATACGGTATTGTATTGTACACTTTTAATTCCCAATATCTTTAACTTTGCATGTGTGCCTTTTGCATTTCTTTCTCTGTCCAGTAGTATCATTCTAGTTATTCTAAGAAGGTCGCTTCTGTTGTTTCCAAGTAGTCGATTGATTGTTGGGTGTTTCTGGTCTATTTTAAACATTACGTAATGATAAATCTTAAACCTATCTGGTCAATTCTTGATTTAGTTTCAATGCTGGCCTATTGGAATGCTAGTTGTTTGGCCAATTGTAACATAAAGCACAATCAAAGTAAGGAATATTGTTCGCTCCTGATCTGGCATTTATTTGCACTTTTTCTGTACAATGAGTCTATCCAGGAACATTTTTCTTACTGGGTCATTTTACAAGTACAGTTGAAGTTGTAGTGCCTTCTAAATACATCATTACCATTTATCACTCATAAATTTTTGCATGAATTCTTTACCTTACCTTCCTGTTAAAACATCCACATGTTTCTTACCTTTCTTAAATAGCACCTAATGGACGAGCAAATTTTGCGGTTTATCTCTGCAGTAGTATCATCTGCAGACTAGATTAACATATGTTCTTAGGTACACGGATTTGTTAACTGGTTTGATGATGTCACCTTTTATAACGAGTGACTATAAGATGTGTTGCATGCTTATCTTCATTGTGCCTATCTAAATATTTCACATGAGCTTTTAACTAATGATTTGGAAATGCTTGTCATCAGCTGTGATCATCAATGTTTCCTGGTACATTTGGTTTATGGTTATTGTAGTGTAGTGGTAAATAGCAATTTTTTACAACCAACTGTTCATTGTGAGAAATATTGGTATACTTTTCTGTATTTAATGTAAAGCCTCTACGACTTACTGTTACTTGTTTTAGTAATGGAACATAATACATGTTTAGATTCCTTTCTTTCACTATACATTATTTTCCTTATCTCTAATATTAAATAAATTCAATCCGATAAATTGTTCCCATTTTTTATTTATTTTAATATACTTGTCTGCACACTTATGAACATATTAAAAATGCTTCACTGCAAATATTTAGATAAATACAAAATATAAATAAATTTGTATTAGAAAATTATCTAGTTATTTTTAAGTATTTAGGTCTAGAAAAAATACTTAATATTTCATAAATAGTTTGCATGTCTGAAACTTATCCTTATCTTTAAATTGATAGCACTAAATATTACAACTGGAAAATAAATGCAATTCCAAACAAATGATAAAACTTTGAAACCAACTACATTTGGAGTACTTTGGTAGCATTGGAGTACCTACTACTTGTAAACAGAATAAAAAATTAATCAAACAGGTGTATTTATCTATCATTATTATAAAGTTTCCAGAGCTAATTTAGAAAACATTCCTTTAAATTTATATGGCCATTAAGAAATATTTCAGACTTAATGCCAACATTGTTTGTAAATCAATTTATAATACATTTAAAATAATAAAAGTTGAAAATGATTCACTAAATTAGTATGAGAAACACATTGCAAAACTATACAATGATATATTAATTAAAAAAGTCTGTTAAATATATATTAAATATACATACATATATATATATATATATATATATATATATATATATATATATATATATATATATATATATATATATATATATATAATTTATATACTTGGGAGCACTCTTTAACACTGAAAATAAAATGTCAGCAGAGATAAACTGCAGAATTAGCATGACCAACAGATGCTATTTTGAGCTCTATTTCCTTAACTCCTCATATATATATATATATATATATATATATATATATATATATATATATATATATATATATATATCGAGAAATACAAAAGTAAAACTCTACAAAACAATAATAAGCCCAATCCTAACATATGGTGTGGAGACCTGGGCTCTAACAAAAAATAATGAAAACATGTCAGAATGTTTCAAAAGAAAAGTACTAAGAAAAATATATGGAACAGTGAATGACAATGAAGTGTGGAGAAGGTGATACAACTTCGAACTTTATAGAATATACAAGGAACTAGATACTGTAAAACATATTAAGATATTACATCTGAGGTGGATAGGGCATGTAATCCAGATGGAACAAAATGAACCACCTAGAAAAATGCTTCTTGACAGACCCATTGGTCAGAGAAGAAGTCAGAGACCCCCAGAACAAGGTTCCTTGATAGTATTGATAAAGACATTAGAAATATTGGAATATGTGCTTGGCAAAGCAAGGCAATGGACAGGGATGACTGAGAGAAATTCTTAAGGAAGCTAGCACCCATGCAGGGTTGTAAAGCCAGATTGATGATGATAATATATTCGCGATAGCCAATTCCGACAGGGGGCGCTGAAGATTTTAAAGATGGACGATAGCTTTGGTAAAACAAATAATTTTGTCATTTGATCTCTAAGGTATAAAACGTTTAATATAAATCATTTACATGTATGTTTTGCCAAAGTAAAAGATGGAGTACATTCTTCAAAGTTTATTTGTTTGTGATTCGAGTTTATACATAAGGTAATTGACTCCCAAACCTGAATCAAAATAAAAGTAAATGTTTGTTTTTCTACAGTAGGTATGCCTGAAACACGGGAAGTAAAATTTACATCATCTTAATTATTTACATGGTTGCAAGATCGGCAGAGATCTTTAGTTGAGGGTGAGACAGTTTTTGGAGCTGGCCACGTTATATTTTGTAAATTACGCCTAACATTTTCTACTAATAACTTCATGAGACCGTTGGGGCAATTTAGCTGATGGAACAGCATTTTTCTTCAGTCTTCTTAATTTAGTTTCAGGTGTTACTATAAAGTAAATTAAGTATAAATATATTTACACTTGGAAAGTAATTGTTCTCAGTAAAATGTAAACTGCACACAGTCACGTACTTGGTTATGTTTGCCAATTCACAAAATGCATTGCCAAACTTTTCGCATATTCTCGTCCAGCAGAAACTTATGTATGGAATTTTTTTGTGAATTATAATAGGATGAACATTGAGGAACACTCCAATAGTTTTTTGAAGTCGAAGTCATTGTTAATTACCATATAAACTGGTCGCTAATATGTATACAAAGTAATGACAATTTCAATGTTTTCCTGAAGTGGATGCTTTTGAAATCTACCACCAGGTGTCACCCACTTTGCGGTTCCTCGCCAATAGTCTCTGTATTTGAAGATATAAGGGGATTGTTGATAGGGAACATCTTATGGATAAATAGGACAGGTGTGAATAAGGTATAACCAAATAAATCCATGGATCAACTGAGAACATGGCATAAGAGCTGCAGGTTATCATTACTGTAGATTTGTTGATTGAACATAACCAGACACGCACATAGACACCCAAACATGTACACACACAAACACTTATTTACAGTATGGTCAGTGGGTAAATCATAGACAGCTGCACCACAACTGGCTCATCATATGCTTAGACTTGTTCTGCAACTACTCAGTTATCTAATTCTATAGATTTATAGGAGTTATAAGCTGGATCAAAATCAAAAGAGATCATGCTGAAGAGAGCTCAGAAATGACTATATAATGGAAAATATAAACACAATGGCAATAATTAGAGAGCCAGTCACAGAGTCAAAATATGAGAAAATAGTACTAGATACTTGGTTTATCTGAAAAAAGAACAAAAAAGAGAAAGAATGGTGATTGTAATCTTTGTAAACAAAAATTGATCTTTCAATTCATAACTTTTGTGGAATTAATAATTGTTCGATTATTTGAATTTGTAGAAATTAATACCATGACTTAATGGCTTACAATTATTTACAATGTGAAATAATTGTAATGGTTCAAGGTTCAAAAAGGTAATAAACCCAAATTCCTCTTCTTAAAAGAACACCATACATTTCAACATTTTCTAGTAGAATGTTCATTGAAGAAAGAACTCATCAAACATACCTAGAATATGATTATATAGATGTAGAGCAGACTGGAGAAATCTTTAAAGCAAAAAGTCACCTTCAGTATACAAAGATTGTTCAAGATTAATAAAGATTGTCATAATATTCCATCGTCAAGTAATTATCAGAGTGCTTAAGTAGTTATTAAATTTTAAATTGTTCTTAAAAATCCGATGGAAATACATAAAGACCAAACAAAAAATTTAATTACCCTTTTGTGGATACTAAGTATATCAAATCAGAATAAAGTGTACTAGTGACCCTTTATTACAGATACAATAATATTAGTAATTAGTAGGTATATGGATTTTTATTTTGCAGCTGTATTTTTTAAATGTAATAAAAGTACTTAACTTTCATCTTTATTAATAAAGAAAATTACTAAATCATGGAGACCCTTCTCTACACATAAAAAACAATAAAAACTATTCAACTAAACCCCTTTATAACTTCTGAATACCACTACTCAAGTTATAAATGATTTTGTGAGTATTATAAAAACATTGTCTTTATCATTAAAGTAGAAACATTGTTTTGCTTATTGTTATATTTTCATAATAAACACATGATAATTTCTAATATATTTAGATAATTATATTAAAAACTCACCAATTTCTTCTTTGAAGACGTCTCCTGTAACTTGGACAAGTACTTCAGACCTTTTCCAACAAAGGATCTAGTAAATGTTAATGCCATGGCTGAAAAAATATACCAAGAATGTATGTTATTTTCTAGGAATAAGTACGAGCAGCTAAAAAACTACAACATTCCCGCTTACACAGTTTAGTTTTAAATGAATACAATTGCTGCAAATTAATGATTTAAACGAGTATCAGGCTAAATGAATGTCGATCACTACGATCACGAATTAATTACATGACAAAAGTGGTGTGGTGTCACAAACTTGAGAAGAGAGATTATGATAGCTTGTACACAAACGCAATTAATAATCCTTTACGATTTTATTTTTAACACAAAATCAGTTAATAATTTACTATATAGTCTAGACTGTCAGTATTATCAGAAAACGCCGATATAATGTTCAAGCATTTGAGTACAAAGTTCAACAATAATGTAATTTATGTTTTTACTTACTGTTAAAATGAAGCTTGCAATTATTATAATATAAGGTAGAGCAAGTTTTATGCTTTTACTAACATACTGTGTTTTATCTAGTCAAGGAAACAAATACACGAAATTGACTACTTCTATTTTTGTTGTTGGTGTGTTTACTACCAATGTGGAATTAATTTTATTTATAAAATCCTAGGGAAACCGGAAAAATTCTATTTCTAATCGTGAATTCTCGTGCCCTTTCGTTTAAACGTGGCTACTGCTATTATACTAAAATATTTAAATACCATCTACAAATAGTGCAGTTTAATAAAATAAAGTGTTACCCTAAAATTAATTAATTAAACTAAAAATTAATCGAAAGTTATATTATATTAACAGATACAAAAATATAAAATAAATTATGGATGTGTCAATATCCACAAGAAGAAAATCCGCGTAAAAATAGATTTTGAACTTGAACATATACGAGGGTTAATCGAAGATTTGCCTGATGTGAACAATTTTATTTGGTTTATACCTAAAGGCCCCGGCACTTTATTTATTTTATATAAAAGTGGTTTCAGTTAAATTGGCTGAAACTTTGCAAACTATGGTCATGCTGATCAAAAGATCAATTCGCCAAGATTCAGATAATTGTTTCTGAGTTAGAGAGGCCCAGTGTCAGATTTTAATCCTTTTGAATAATAAATATTTGTAAAATACACATAGTAAATACATGCAACTAACTTCAGGGAGTGATTGGGCATGAAAAATAATGGTAGTTTGCTATATAAACGCATCCCCGCAAATGCTTCCTTTTTTGAGATACAGGGTCTTGAGATTTTTCTTTCAAAGTAACGATTTTCTAATATTATATTATTTATCTATGGTAACGATTTATTTATCTCCCTGAAACTGGTTGAGGCTTAGACAAGGAAAGAGAGAAGACAGGTAACGTTCATTTAATAAAGCTTCGAAAAATGAAGCCAGTTTCGATGTGACCGCGTGTTTTGTGACCGTACGTTGCCCATTACTACCTCTCGCAGGGTTACCAGGTCTACTGATTTTTTAGTAGATCTACGGATTTCAACTTCAATTTACTGATTTACTGAAACATTATATCGATCTACTAGAAAATATGTAATGATAAAATCATGTTCAAAAAGTGATCATTATGTCAGTGTTCAATTGAGGACCCTAAAAGTACTTAAAGGGGTATAAGTAACATTTTTGTAAATATTTTGAGATACTGCATCACCGAACTGGAAATATCTCATTCTATTTTACGGCAAGTTACTTAACCTCCAAGCCCACTAAGAGTAGGACTTCGATAAAAGAGGTACAAGTGCACTTGTACCTTGGTGTTGCATCGGTTTTGCATTTAGTCAAATTTTGGCTCTACATTGTAAAAAACCCTAATATTCAAACAGTAGATCATCGCTTGTTTATAAGTGGCCATTCTTATAATGAGTCTATCAAACCAAAACTTTGGTTTGATAAAGTTAAAAAAGAATAGAACTAAAAAGGAGATGTATGTACTTCAACATTGGATGGAGCTGGTAACTTTCTACAAGTAGACAATTCTTTACAGTACAGATGAAAACTGACGATTTTTTAGACTTCCAAACACTTGCGCCATACTTCAAGAAGAGCGTAAACGGAATACCGAGTATACTGTACCGTTTTTAAATAAAACGAGCGGTTCGAATTTATATAAATATATTTATTTATAACTTTACAGTTCGATACTGTCTTATTAACTAAACTTAACTCCTAATTCCGTTACATATATATACCAAAGTATTATGTTCGAGAATATTCGGGACTAGTCCCACCTCTAATTCGTTATTCGACGGGTGGAATTTTACAGCGCTTTGATATATCGCGGAAACTTCTGGGTGCTTCGAGATGCGACCGTTAGGCGAGCCGCGTTCGTAACACTGCTGCTCCCCTCTTAGATCTGAGCGTCCCGATCAGGAACTCTATCTATAGGCCCAGGATGGCGGAATCTACAGGACTCTCCAGCTCCGCATGAACTCCTCAGAAAGAAATAACAGTCTACTGTCTTTGAAGGACACGATCTCTTCGGATTAATGCAACACACAGTAATTCTTACACCGGTTTCTCGGAAGATCACTTCAATCATGCTTCTGACAATCTTCCAATCCAGATTATCTAGTGCATGGCCTATCTTGGGTAATGCCAAATTCTTAATGTCGTAATTGCAGACGATTTTCTTCAGATTAGTTAGAGCACACCATATATCCTCGTAGGTTGCCCTGTCTGTATACGACTTCCTGGTCACCATATACAGCAAAGATCGAGAACCATCTTCTAATCTCAGTACCCTTCCAACTTTAGGCTGCTGGTTTTTAACTCGTTCAAGCGACCGAATTTTTTATAAAATACAGATGAGATTCCTTTAGTCATCTCAAGATCTTGGGCAACACAGTGGGCTAGAGAGACGTTATGCGGAACACTAAAAAGATCCTGCTGAACTTCTGTCGTCACGCCGAATCTAGCACTCTTTCTCTCTGCGTAATTTGACATAAACGCGTTAAAGCTTGGTCGCCGGTTATCTTTGATCTCATGTTGAAGGATTCGTACTTCTTCTGTTTCATTTGAGCCAGCATAAGGTGCAAGACGATTTATGTGAACTACTTTTGGTTTACCTTTCGGCAACTTCTTAATTCGGTATATTACGTCATTTATTCTCTTTATAATTTCATATGGACCCACCCATTTTCTTTGCAGTTTAGGAGACAAGCCACGACGACGTTGGGGATTATAAAGCCAAACAAGATCACCTACTTCATAGCTTTCATTCTTGCATCGAGAATCGTATTGATCTTTCATTCTGTCACTGGCTAACTGGATGTGTTGTCGGGCAAATTCATGAATGTTCATTCTTAACTTTAGGCGGTCGACATAATCTTCGCTTGCAACATGTTCTTCGGAAGGTCTGCAGAGAAACTCTAGGTCGCAGGGCAAACGAACTTCACGACCTAACATCAGGCAGGTTGGAGTCTGGCCGGTAGTTTCATTCACGGTCGAGCGGTAGGCCATTAGGAATAAATGAATGTGCTGGTCCCAATCTCTTTGATGTTCTGATACAACTTTGGACAGGTGTTTACCCATCGTTCGGTCCATTCTCTCGACCATTCCATCTGATTGAGGATGCAGTGGTGTCGTTCTGGTCTTATTGACACCAATCAATTTAAAAACGTTTTGGAAAAGGTTTGACTCGAAGTTTCGCCCCTGGTAAGAGTGGATCTCCAAGGGAACACCAAATCGACTAAAGAATTCTTTAACCAATACCTCTGCAACGGTAGCAGCTTCTTGATTTGGTAGCGCATAGGCCTCAGTCCATTTCGTAAAATAATCCATGGCTAGCAGGATATATTTATTTCCATCATTTGTCTCTGGAAGTGGACCTGCAATGTCGATTGCTACTCTTTCCATAGGACTACCAACATTGTACTGTTTCATGGGTGCCCTCTTTTTACCAACTGGACCATTACTGGTTGCACACAGTTCACATTTCCGGCACCATCTTCGTACATCATCTTTACAGTTCACCCAATAGAACCGTTCTCGAACCTTTTGCAGAGTCTTCGTAATACCAAAGTGTCCACCTGATGCACCGTCATGTAACTGACGCAATACTTCTGACACTTTACTTTTAGGTACAATCAACTGAAGCTTAGATTCTGTATCATCATCGTTCTCAAAGGTTCTATAAAGAAGATCATCTTTTAGCACTAGGCAATTCCATTGGCTCCAGTAACACTTGACTTCAGGACTACATGCACTAATGTCTTGCCAAGAAGGCCTTTCACTTCGACGCATCCAATCCAATACTCTTTTTATACATGGATCATCTGCTTGAGGGTCTTGTAGCTGTTGTGGCTGCCATTGGTCATTAATGACGGTGGTTCGTCTCACGGGGCAAAGTCTTTCTTCTAATTTAAGACAGTGATTACAATGTTCACTGCACGGCCTTCTCGAAAGCGCATCAGCATTTAAATGAACTCTTCCAGCCCTGTGTTCGATCTCGTAATCATATTCTTCTCTTCTCGTAACCATCTTGCCATCTGGCCCTCTGGATTACGGAATTGTAGGAGCTATTTTAGAGCAGCGTGATCCGTGCGAAGAAGAAACTTTCTGCCATACAAGTATTTATGGAAATGCTCGCAAGCCTTTACTACACCTAGCAATTCTCTCCTGGTAACGCAATAGTTTCTTTCTGGTTTCGACAAGACTTTGCTAAAGTAAGCGATGACTTTCTCCTGCCCATCTTGGATTTGGGATAGAACAGCTCCTATTGCACTGTTGCTTGTATCGGTGTCCAACACAAATTTTCCTGCCTGTCTAGGGTAGCTTAAAATCGGTGCGCTGATCAGAGCCATTTGTAAGTGTTCGAAGCTCTTTGGCACTCTTCGCTCCATGTATATTCTTTGCCTTCTTCTGTCAACTTTGTTAATGGCTTGGAGATGTTGGCAAATCCTTTGACAAAACGTCGGTAATATGTACAAAGGCCAAGAAAACTTCTAATTTTGTGTTTGTCTCTTGGTACCGGCCAATCCTTAATTGCTGCAAGTTTTTCAGGATCAGCTGTTACACCATTACTTGCTACAATATGTCCCAAGTACTTCACTTCTCGTCGAAACAAGTGACATTTCTTCGGACTTAGCTTCAAATTTGCTGCCCGCAATCGTTGAAAGACTTCTGTCAAATTATTGGCATGTTCATCGAAGGATCTTCCTACTACAATTACATCATCCAAATAAACCAGGCATGTTTTCCATGTTAGACCTCTTAAAACTGCCTCCATTAATCTTTCAAATGTGGCCGGGCATTACATAAACCAAAGGGCATAACTGTGAACTGCCAAAGCCCTGATCCTATCGAGAATGCGGTTTTCTCCGATCAGCTGGCTCCATGTCTACTTGCCAATATCCACTTTTCAGATCGAGTGTGGAGAACCAACGAGAACCAGAAAGTGTATCCAAAGTATCGTCTATTCTGGGCAAAGGATAACTATCTTTTTTAGTTACCGCATTGAGCTGTCGGTAGTCAATACAAAAACGTGTTGAACCATCTTTCTTCTTTACTAGTACTACTGGTGATGTCCATGGACTGTTTGATGGTTCAATTACCCTTGTTTGCTCATATCTTTGATGATGTCTTCGGCTTCATCTCTTTTCGCAAATGGAAGTCGTC